TGGTAGAGCATAGTGGGTCAGAGTGAGTGAACAGCTGGATGTGCTGTCTTCAGATAGACAGGAGCCATTTATGTTGCTGTTTTATAAGGGAATAACAGGGTTTGGACATACAGCACCTTTTTTTATAATTACAGAAATGATTCCCAGTGACTGGTAAAAAGAGGCAGGATGAGATCTTTTATCAGAATGCATTTATTACGCATGTACAATACAAGATCAGTAAAGAGAGAAGAGGTACTGCTTTAACCTGTGTTTTGAAAGGTGCTATATAAATAAAGCTATTGTAATTATTAATATTACAGCAAAAGCTAAAAAGTGACTCACAGCAGCTTTAAGTAAAGGCTGTCAATACTCCCAGCACTATTGATGGTCCGTAAATAAATTCAAACTGCCTGTTAAGTCAATAACTTTTCTTTTGGCTTCTTTGCTTTTAGTTTATTATCTTCAATGTGATGAATAATTGATAACATTTTTTCAAATATTAACAACAGCTGTTGTGTGTGTGTGTGTGTGTGTGTGCGTGTGCGCGCGCTTTGTTTTTCACATGCTGAAGAATGTTGACTGCAAAACAAATGTCCCCTGTAGGAAATAAAGCACTGAACTGTGCCTAGGCCTGAATATCTGTAAGAATTGTGGTTAACAGACATATAGCAACAAGCTATATTTTCATTCCATCACTCTTCCCCTCTCTTCCCATGTCTGCTGCTGTGCTCTGACATACACTGTCTGCATAGTTTGACCAAAAACAGTCATGAGAGAGGCCCTCATACAAGCAACATACAAAAATAACATGTGGTGCAGAATCAAATATGCATGTGCTCACACAGTATCAGGAGAGTTAGATTTTAGTGCAAATTCAAATTGCACCTGCTCCACATCTAGCAAATTCAAATGCAAACTACATGCTACCCAGGAATTTTGGAAACAGTGAGAGAGGCTAATTACATTTTTTCTGTTGCTCAGTATGGAAGTCATTAAACTAAGTGTGAACTGCCTCAGCGGTTTATATGTGTGAAGAAACTGTCAGTTTGAAAATAAATTCTTAGATACTCTTAACTGTGCTGTTCAATTTAACAGCACACACCACAAAGCAGGCACACACTCTGGCACATCAATGACGACCACCCTGCGTCGCTGCCAAGATGGCTTACTGCAGCAGCTGTGCCTTTGTGCCTATAACCAAAGACATGTGTGTTAAGGTGGACAGGAACTTAATTTAATACACCGGGGACAGGCAAACACAAAGGGATGACAGTAAGATGAGAAAAATATACGGATTCATTGAGGAGGGCAGAAAGTCATTTAAGAAATAAAGAAAGACAAAAAACTGATCTCACGGCTAATCAAAGAGAAAATAAATTGGCCAGAAGAGGGGGAGAAAAGGGAGGGAGGATGAGGAACTCAAACATCACTGTTTCTTCCTGCAGCTAATGTTAACAAACTCTGAGTGTAGCTGCATGTATACATGTGGATGTGATGCATGTGTGAACCATTAGGATGTTCTTTACGACCTTAAGAGGAACAGGAAAGGAGGAGGCTTCAGCAGAACAGTAGAAGTATATTTTTGCCAGGAAATGACATTTTCTGATATGCAGAGTGTGTGACATGAGATGCCCTCTGGCTCAGTGTGAGCTGTTGATGTTCATATAGAACATGCTGTTGAGGGGTTTAGGGATCAGGCGTGGTTGTGCACTGGATTTATTGACTCCAATGATTATCAGAACTCATTTTGAAAGAATACGTTCAATTTCCTTTTCTTGATCTCTTAATGATCTTTTTGATGTCCTGAGTTTTTTGGTCAGTGAGAAAAAGTTGACCCCCATCTTCAACTCTAAATCACAACAGCTGACAGTTTTAGCTGCAGTTTGTGTACCCTCAGTTGATGCACTTCCTGGTTTAGTCTTTTTTTTCCCCTTTCAGACATAAATATCAAACAGCATGCACATCCGAACAAAAAACTATATCAAAAGACAGAAAGAACACTAAGTCCGCAGTCCCAGAAGAAGAGAAGCATTTTTTCACACTCATGGTATGTTATTTCAACATCAGGGGAAATCCAAAGCATGACATAACTCTACACCATGTAGCCTATAGTTCACATCTGTTATTCTGTGGAGAAATTAAAGTACAGATGCATCTCACTAGTGGAGATCCATAACATTTTAACTTTCTTACTTTAATTTTTTCTTGACCCAGAGCATGACTTAGTTTTAAGGATAATAGTTTGATTGCCATGAGTAAACATGGAGCATTTGTTTTGGATCATTTCATTTGGACTCTAACCATCCGCCATACAAAACACGTTTTTGACAAGCTGTGTCATTCCCCATTATTTTCTTTCAGAGGATAAACAGCTGATCATGTGCTGTCTGTCATTTAATGTCACAGCCAACTCGCTCTCACTTTGTGGTTGTGCACTCTGCTCATTGTGGGATGGCGTGTGGGCCGGGTGGGAACATCTGGATGAGAAATTGTAAAAAAAAAATCGTGTGATTACTAATTAGATATACTAGCCTGGGAATCTGGGAACACACACAAAAGAAAGTTTGAGCAAAGACAAAAAGGACACTGAGGGAAAATGAGGGTGTGCACTGTGTTCCTGTTATTTCACACATTTCAGTTTTTCTCCAGAGGAAATCATTTCACATTCAGGCAAGTATATGAGAACGGTTTTGTGCTTTTGCAGAGCAATTTTGCTCAGCCTCATTTAACCCCCTATTTGGCCATTAGTCATCATATGCATGACGAACAGCATTAAGTGTGTTGTTGTTGGTCTCCTGCTGTCTGCTTCTCACAAGGGAACATAGATTCTTGACGAGGCAAAGCCCTCCACCCTTATGATAACTAAACAAAGTGCTCCAGTGACTCAGCGTGGAAGTTACCACATCAGAGTCAAATACTAGACAAGGATGAGTCCATAGACAACTTCAACTGTTGTGTAGTCATCGGACCTTCAGAAGTACTAAATCCCAAAGTGTTTCACTCAGCTTTTGAGTCCAGGAAACGACCCAGACTTCAGATAATCCTAGCTAGAAATAAGATTACTGAAAGAGCATTAAGAGCTTTTGATACTTGAGTTTATAGTTGTGAGCGTGTTTATATTATATATTCTTAGAAAACACACTTCCTTTTCTAACACAAGCCCTGACTGTATGTCAGCATGCATCCTTCAGGACTGTGCAGGAGATGGGTGTGTCATACACAGAAACATGCAAACACTTGAGGCAGAGGAGAACCGAGATGAGTCAGTATTAAATAGTGGTGTTATGTTTAAATAAATATCTCACTGAATTGGATTGAAATCTTAAATTTGGTTTAATTTTCTCCAAACTTGTCTGAGCAAGCTTTTTTTCCACAGGATTAGAAAAACATGTACAACTGCCCTTCAACGAGTAATATGTTTTTTAAAACGTGTGTTGCACATTTGCAGCAGTAATGCATGATACAAACACAAGATAAATGAGAGATTTTAGTTTGTTAAAAAAATAGGATGTACATGTTTCAGTGTGTGTTAGAGTCTGCAGACATTTGTCAGGGCATCATCCTTAAGGATAGAACAATGTGATTACAAATTACTTCCAAAACTACATACATCATGTCCATTGGAGATGTTAATGAAGAAAAACATAAATGACGTTTGGGGAGTATCAGCGTTGTTAAACAGTTGCTACGTTGCAACGTTGCTAACCTGCTGGTTAGGTTTGGGTTAAGATTGTGGGTTACATGAAGAAAATTAGTTTCATATCTTAGCTTTTGAATGTGACATGAGTTATTTGGTTGTTTAAATGTTTTCTACTTTTAGTTTAGCTAAACATGAGACGCAATAACTCCTGGATGGATATCTTCAGTTACTGTCTGTGACCAGTCCATCCACCCTGACCTCCTCTCAACGTGGACCTACTTCCCTGTTCTTCATACTTCGACTGTCGACTAACTCACTCATATTCTCACATCATAATTACGAATGCCATTAGTGGTTGCTTGCTGTCGATGGACTTAGATATATAACCTATATGGCTGTATATTTGTGAGAACAGTGTTTTAGGGTTGATCCTCTTCTGGATCAGATATCACTTTGCTGAGATACAGAATATGTGAGACAAGATTCTGAACAACCACACACTGCCACACTGCCACGCGTACACAAACGCACACACATCTCTTTGTCTTTTTGTCCATTGTTAAATTAATCGGTCGGAGTGTGTGTGTGGTAGTTAATTGTGCATCTGTTTTAGTACAAAGACCTTCAGAAAGCCTTCATGAGCTCATTAGGGGAGTTCGAGAGCCGGGACCACCGCCAGAAGAATACTGTCATGATCCTGAAACACATTTATCATCTATAGAAAGAACCCACTGCATGAACCCATCCTCACATATCATAGTCACATACCTGCTTTCATCATCATGTTGTTTTATTTTCACACACTTTTCTCTTTGCGCCAATCCTGTGACCACTAATGGTTGAAGAAGAAATCCTTAATGATTTATAACGATTTTTGTTTTGTTTTCCTCTCAGTCCTCACAAACTTGGGGCCCTGTTGGGGCCCTCCTTCTTTTCATCTCTCTCTGTGTTATTCACCTCTCTATTTGCATTATAGCATGGGTAACTTACCTCATCTCTTGCCAGGGTCATTTATGGGACAGCCATCCATCAAAGTCTATAATCACCAAGAACAAGGACCGACACGACTCCGCTCCTTTCCCTCCTTTGCCACTACCGATGAAAACCATTAATTTTCAAAGTGCAAGCTTTTGAGAATCACTTCTTTATAAAATACTATGAACATTTAACAGGTTAACATGGCTTGGCCTCCTTTACAGACTAACTAGAATGCACTCAGTCAAGAGAAGTCCGCTTATTTGCGCAAAGAAAAATGGGGACCAGCTTCAGTGCCTTAACTCCCTCCCTCATGTTCATTTCTGCAGTGATTTAGTGATCGTCTTCTCCCCTGATAAACAGTGACAAATGAATACTTTAAAACAAAAAGGAGTGAGCACCACAGAGTCATGTCTTTTTATTTTGCAATACAAAGTTTGAAAATGAGAAAAGTTTGAGTAACAGAATAATAGGTAAGAAAACAAAGAAACAATCAGACAGTAAAAACAGTCATGGAGGTGTGGTCAAACAAGTTCAGTGGTATTTATGTTTTGTTCTTGAGGGAGAAAGAAAGGTTACATATTGAAACAAAACTGACTTTGACTATCAGTATGAAGAAACTATTCCTCAGCCAAGTTTTTTTTATTGGTTAAGTTCATCTCAGGGTTTGACTTTAGAGGGTGTGGGAACATGTACAATCAAATCATTGTTACTTACAGGATCTAAAGCTGTAAGAACCGTGGATGAAGACACACTCAGAGTAAGTGAAGCACTTCATAAAGTCTGCAGCCCTGTCAATCATTTATCAGGGCAAGTCTGGGTAAGTCAGGGCAAGTGTGTGTGTGTGTGTGTGTGTGTGTGTGTGTGTGTGTCTGTGTGTGTGTGTGTGTGTGTGTGTCTGTGTGTGTGTGTGTCTGTGTGATTAGTTACATGACATCCTGGGAATACCCAAAATAATTCTGGCCAAAATTAGACAAAACAAACATGAGATCCAAAGTCTAACTGATAAAGAAACAGTATCTAGAGAATACATTATCTGTATGCATGAAATCTATGGAAGCTATCGCTCTACCTGTAATGCTGCATAAGTTGAATACCATAAGTAATGCATGACTAATGTGGAATATACTGTGTATGTATACATGTATATGTGCTGCTGTTGGCCCTACTGTTCATCAGATCATGAACTGAGAGCCAGAGAGGTAATGAGAGTCTTTCCAGATGTTGGTCTCTCCACAGTTTGTTGTCCTTCTCCGACACTGGCAGCAGCGTCTGTACTCTGAAAGCTTATCTACCAGGAGCTCTCCAGCAGATCTGACAACAAGGAGACCATGATGCATCAGTCAATATCAAGGTACACTAACATCACAATAAGATACATTTTGAAGACGTTCTGACCGTCAAAGGATCATGTTTTCAGTTATAGCTCTTTAAAGTTAGTAACATGGACCATACATGGGTAACACTCATTTATTGAATGTAAGATTGCTTGTCAAAATGGGTAAGTGGTGTCTTTGATAAACATATATCTAGAAGTGCACTTGGAGAGTGCAGACCTCTAAAAAGGATTTTGTTTGTTCTTGAGCCAGAGAAGATATTAACTTCTTGTTTGAGCATACAGATCTGCTGCAACATTAAAAAGGTTCTTCTTTGGCCCTTGCTCCAAAAATTAACTTTATGTCACATGCTTGATTATGGAAATTAAGTATGTGACATAAAGTTATTTTTTTTGTAATTCAGTTGCCTGAATGATGCATTGTCTTTTCTGCCAGTCAGGCTACATTGTAAATTATCAGTGTTGTCAGTGTGTCAGTGTGTGAATGGTTTACCAACTTATAACTGTAACGAATATAATTCAAGGGAGAGTGCCAATTAATTATCCACACACCTCAGAAAGCGCTTCTCCTCATTTTCTCGCTGGTGTTTCAGCCTCACACTGCGACTCCACTCGTCCTCTAGACACCTGCTTATGTCCTGCTGCCTCTCAAAACGATTGATGCGGCCCAACATTAACCTGGACAGGTAAAACAAAAACGTACAAAGTTCCACAGAAAAAAAACATGTTGAACTGAAGCTGCAGCTGCTTCATTTTCTAATTCTTTCACCTCCACCCTACTCCCGCTGTACTCACTCCAGTTGACTCTGTTTGAGCATTTTTTTTTCCTTCTCCAGTTGTTCGAGGCGTTTGTGCTCTTTGTCTCTTTTCCTCTGAGTGGCAGTGCTGAAATTTACCTGAAAGAGCTGCAAGCATACAGATAAACATCACATCAACTTCAACATGTAGCGAGGAAAATTTTAAAGTAAACTTTTCGTGACAGATGTGGCATGCAGAATGCAGGACTTGTTACTGAGTATTTGAATTTGAATGCAGGACTTGTTACTGAGTATTTCTTAAAGAACTAAAAAGTGAACACAGACGAGCCCAGCAGTTAAAAATGAGAGTGTGGATAAAAGATGAGAGCAGAGTGGAAGTAGAATCCTTGAAATGAATATCAACACGTGCAAAAACATATTTCTTGTATTTCTAAAAGCATTCCCAGTGTGTCTGCGTTTCATGGCGTAGCAGGCCTAAATCAAAAGCCTGATCATACGTCTAAGTCAATAACTGTGAGCAGGGAGTAACCAGCAGAGCTCTATCCACAGATCTTAATCGTGAATAAGACACATTAGCCAGTCAGAAATTTGGAGATATAAAAAAGGAGAACTAAGTATTCGGTAGCTTGAGGATAAACACATGAGAAAACATCTTAAAGAGTTCGTCTGGCAGCCAGTCTGCATAGTGTCCTTGACTGGCAGGATGGGAGGTAACTCTACTCTGCTGCCTTCCATTGACCTTCAGCCTTCTGAACAACTTAAAAGCACATTTTGACATACATAATCCACAGGAAGTTAAAAAATAGGAAGTGTAGGAGTGTCTTGCCTGAGTGTCCAGAGCCCTCTTGTAATGCGTAGTACTCTCCTGTTTCTGCTGGAGCTGCTGGGCCTTCTGCAAAGCTAGCCTAAAACATACGCATGATCATGAAAACATTAGTTGTCACAGCAGTTTATTTTTCTGAAACACCTTAGCAGGAACTCAGTTACAGACTCACTCCTGGACCAGCTGAACCTGGTCCAGATGCTCCATGAGGAGACGGTTCTGCTGGTCCAGAGCCTCGTGTTGCCTTCGGCTCTCTATCTGGTTCTGCAGGTCATTCATGTAAAAATGCTGCTGAATCCTCCTGGCGGCTGTGAGGGGCCGATCCGGGAAGATGAATGAAGTCTAAAAGCAAGATTAGAGGGAGGATACAGATTTTTTTTAAATGCCATAATTCCACTAAAAGATGCAGTGAATGCCAAATGTGAATTCATGATTTTTAAGGGAAAATTCTTGAAATTCCTATGAATTCAAACTCTAACTTTGGAGTAATTTTTCAGCAATATTATTTAATTTTATTTATATAAGTGGATGGCTTTTATTTAGAAGCATTAACAGAAACCAACATGTGTTTGTCACATAGGTTACTGCATCCCAGAATCGTTCATCTCAAACATATACAAAACCAAAAATTGCATTTGATAACAGATGATCCGTTAAATATTGCAGGAAGTGATGTAATATGAAGGAGAAACTACGCTTAGCTGTTTGCAGGCTGCAAACTCCTCTAGAAGGTAACAATCAATCAATAGCTTTCTGTTGTGTGTGAGAATTATTTGCACCATGGGTTGCTCTTCGGTTTTTTTTCATAACTCTGCAGCTTAAACAGTTTTTAACTTCAAGAAGGAAATCTTTAGAATCACAACTTGAATGTCCAGTTTCTACTTACAGGGAAGAGGGGAAATAAAGTTTTCTCTTTCTTCTCCTTATTCCTTTGAAGGTTGAATGTAGAAACCTGCTTTGCGTGTTCACGCTGCTCATTCAGCCTTTCCTGCCATTTGAAGAAACAAAAACACTTCATGAATGTGTTCAGTCAAAGAAGGCTTAGCAAACATGGTGAAAAACCTTTTTTTTTTCCCAGTTAAGTGTTTAAATGAAACAACACAGGCAAAAAACAACTTGTAAGGTTTCATTTTGACTTTTAATAACCCACATGTACTGCAATTCCTTCCAAGTGCTGTTGAGAGAATGAAGCTGTTTTCTGAGCTCGCTGACCCCAAACACTCTGGGAACACCCTTCCCAGTTTAATGTTCTTTCTTATTTTCATTTGACAAGATTTTATTACCACTTTTACATTGTATTGACACAATAGTAAGAGCTGTATTTTACTCCTGCTGCTGGGTGTATGGGACACAGTTTTTACATTTTCAGTCTTTTTTCTGATCCCTTTTTTCCTTGACTATAACCCTAAAAATATCTCCCCCAGCACTCACAGTTCCCCTTTAGTGACCTGCAGACAGTATGGAGTAGGCCTTTAAACAGTTATCCAAATAAAATACAAAACAGATATATTGTAGAATTTTCTTTTAAGAGACCACTTGCACCCAAGCACATGCACACACTTGTTCTTCCTGCATCAACTGCTTGTCTCTCTGTTGTTCTTGAAGCAGTAAGAGTTTCTCCTGAGCTTTCTCCTCTGCCTCCTGCTGTTTCCTCAGGTAGACGGGAACATTTCTTTTAGCCCGCTGCATACACAGGTAGCACAGCTCCTATGATGGACACCAGAAATAATACATATCCATAAACAATGAATTATTAGTAAAAAAAAAAAATGCAATTTTTCTCACTGCTGTCTTGACAGACACAGAACGTCCAATAACAACATTTATTGTTAATCTGTCATCTATTACCAGACTCCCCTTGATTTGAATGTAGTTTCACTTTCAAGCATTTCACTTTACCAACCACTTATCCTGCATGCCTGTTAGGCTGCACACAGAGTTTAAACCTGGGTACATCCTTTATATTCATAGATTAAAATCACTTATACTTCATTCTCTAAGTCTAAGTTCCAGCCTGAACCCTCATCTTGACTTTCAGAGACAACTATAAAAGTTAGATTGGATCTTTACTGCCACACTAACATTACACAGATACATAAATGCTTCTACATTCTCACCTGTCCAGCACGGGTGTGGCCAGAGCAGCTGACGTTCACACGAGGTTTCTCCGGTTTGAGAGAGACCTCTGGTGGTGAGATGGAAGCAGTGCGCCTGGGAGTGGCAACAGATTCTTTACTGTAGCATACTAAGCATAACATGTATAGTTAAATGATTAGGGAGGGGTTATCTAACCAGTGAGATTTCCTTGTGCATAAGACATAATTACGGTGCATTGGTGCTGTGTGGCATGGACAGATATATAATTTAAAAACAATTTATTAAGTCCTTCTCAAATTTGTTTATCTTAAATTAAAGTTGCTTTCTTGAATTTAACAAGAGGTTCAGAACTCTGTTGTATGACTGCTGACCAGCAGGTAACTGAAGCCCTCATGACCAGGGTTTAGTTTTTTCTGTCAAACGCCCTCCCTATAGACACATGATCTGCTATAGCTATCACTTTGAAAAGCAGCTGAAGTCTCATATTCAAACTGGCCTTCATCTCAACTTGTTCTGTGTAGTTTTAATAATATTTCTACATTTGTATTTCCTGTGGGATTTTTAATGCAACAGTTCAGATCATTTCAGTGAGCTTATAAAATATGTATATATTACATAACAAATGACATACACAGAATCATTACATTACATGATGCACATATACTTATAGAGTTAAACAGCTGCATTGACATGTTTGAGGAGTGAAGGAGGCTCTAAATGCTTCTGGGGATGACAAAATTAAGGGCCCTAAATAGGACAACTGTAATCTTAGGACCCTTCATTTTGTTATGATATCCCAATAACCAGTTTGAGAGCAGTCCAGTCCTCCACAGGTGACACTTAAATCTGCACAGAGACTCTTAGTGAACACATAATAAACAGGGGAGGGATTTTAAGGTTTGAAACTATAGAGACCACCTTCCCTCTTGTGACCACATTTTGTGTAGCTGCTGACAGTGCAGGTAGATGATTACAGAATAAGACCTGTCCCACAGGTGCTTGTGCATCATTTATGGAGCTGGACTCTCTGCCTAGGGGCTGTAACAATATAAAACCCCCTGCTGAGCTGTCAACTCTCATCTACCTGCAAACAGCTCTGTGCCCTGCAATCTGAGCCTCTCCAAAGAGTGTGTCTGCTTTTGTGTCTGTGTGTGTAGTACTTCTCTGTGGACTCTGTTGGGGGTTTTGGATTCAGTTCTTCAGACAGGCTGACAGCTTTTATCTGGGCAGGCTGCAGTGGCTGATAGGATTTAGAATCTCTCTGTTGGGGAACTTCTGTAGAGACAACACGTATTGTCATAGTGCATTCAAAGTTAATTCTTTGCTGCATTTCAATCTCTAATACAGCCATATTAACTGTTTGAATAGAAAGTGGTTTCAACAGTTCCAAGTTTAATAGCCAGTTCAAAATGTTTGGACTCATTTACCTCTAACAACTCACTCATCAAGACTTCTATTTTAAGCAATGGTTTACTATAAATTGAAAGTAAAAGCTGGATGTAATATGTAACGAGAAAACTAGTGCCCCACCTCCACCTGCTGATGCATCAAGAGAGACAACACAGCTTAGGCGTTAGTTTGAACCTTCGGGAAATTCATCTATTTGCTTTCTGTTGAAAGCACCCTCGTGTTTGTCATTGAAATTTGGTGAGGAAACTGTTTGCTTAGCATTAAGACTGAAAGCAGGGCAAAACTCTGTTGTTTTTAACTTCCTGATGTGAAGCACTTTGAAACCTTGGTTTTAAAAGGTGCTGTTTAAATAAAGTTTATTATTATTATATATAAAACAGAACCCTGTAAATACAAAATGATCTTGAGTGTTCTCGTAACACATGTTTGCAATGGGATGCTACTGTAAGTAAATCAGCTCCTCGCTGTAGCTTCATATTTAACAGAGTTGCAAGTAAGAAATCAAATCAGGCTTGTTTTCCTTACTGTTGACTGAATAGCTAGATGAATTGGTAAATATTGCCTTAATAAGAAATAACATAATAATTTTCTATAACATTATTAGTTCAGCTTTAGCAGACACTGCAGTTCCAGTTCAACCAAACGAGGAACAAAAGTCCTTTGCTTTGCATAGGCGTTCTGAAAGGATTTGGATTTGATTCATTGCTTAGTTTAGCCTTATTAAAGTGCTATCAAACGCCAAATTGTCAGCCTTGTGCAGAGAAGCTCTTTCACCTCCTGCATTCCTCTGTTCTGGAGCTGGTGACGAGCAGCCCCATGGATCTTTGTCACTGTTGTCTGGTGGAGGAGCGCAAACACTTGGCAGGGTGATGGGATTGGCCGTCTGTGGCCTCTGAAGCCCGGACGGTCTACTGGACAGTAAAGACACACTGCTCCCAGGTCTCTGCTGGGGCACAGTACCAATTATCTGTATGAACATATTTACTGTGACCTTATTATGTACTGCGATGTGCAAACACACTTTCACGTGTTCATACTCACATAGTTAAATGCCAACAGCAGCCTACCGGTCCCATCCATGGCGTTAATAAAATCTCTGTTGAACTTCATCCGCACCTTTAATGACATCAAGTGTAATTAGATTAAAAATGAAAACAGTGGTCCACTTAGTCCACAACAACGTGAACATGAGTAGGAGCTGGAGATCCACCTTGTTGTTCTTGAAGGACAAAACTCCGATCCCTTGTAAGGTTAGGAAGATATTTTGTTCAGAGGCCAAAGCTCTGCAGAGGAGCAGAAGAGTTTCTCTGACACAGCCCTCGACAACGTCTCGACTGAAGGGAGTCTCCTGTGACACCGCTGCAAAATTCAGTTGAACCACGGGTAGGTGTGTTGCTGAAACAGGACCACACACAAAGACATCCTCATTGTTCTTTCTTCTTCTGTCAGTTTTCAGATGATTGTCCAACATATCCTCGAAATGTATCCTTCATTATTTCAGTATGACATAAATCAGATAAAATAACCTGTTCTCCTGTTCTTCAAGTCTAACTTTGAGCCGAGGCCCATGATGTTTTAACAGAATTAAATGCATTAAATTTGAACACTTTTTCAAGTTAAAATGCTACAGTAAAGTATTCTAAAATATCAGATATGTTAGAATATTATGCTGTTATCACATTTATTAAAAAATCTGCTCACCTGCAGCAAGTGGCCTGACCTGCTTTAAACTCAGAGACTGGATTAGTTTCCCCGCCAGGATAAAGATGGGTCGCTGGATCATCGTGAATCTGTTTCCAATGTCCAACTTCTGCTGAGAGAAGGTGAAGGTGCCCAGTCCTGCCAGGTGAACCCCCTGATCCAAAAAAATCAATCAGTTTCAGATAGATGGATAAATGGATAGAAAGATAGAAATAGACTCACTTTCTTTAAGGTCATCTGACGTTCAATGTAAGTGGACACATCAGCCCAAATACAGTTGATATCTAAAGAAACACATAAGAACTGTCATATGGCAACATGCAGATAAGTAGTTTACAATGTCACGGGTTAAACAAAAGTTATTTGACCGTTTTCAGAGAGCTGAGATAGAGTCGGTAAAGTCCGTCTGTCCGCCTCTGACACCAGCCGCAGTATGTCCGTCATCTCTGTTAAACCGTCCTCATAAGATGAAGCTTGAATTATCTCTAAGTTTCTTCTTCTTCTTATCCCTCACTTGGCTGCAGTTCTGCGAGAGATCAAGTTGAGCACTTGACAGCAGTGGTTGCCCCTGGCAATGCAACCCCCCGCAGTGCACGCTCCAATCCTCTGTCTCTGAGTCTGCGCGTGAAGCGAAACCACAACAAAGCAGGTTTTAAGAGTTCATGTTTCGTATTGGAAGACGTCAGATTTACCCTTTTAACTTCGAACACATTTTCATTAAAGTCGCTTTCACAAATCTTGTCAACAGGACACTATAAATAGCCTTCACCCAGCTGTGTTTATCATAATCCAGTTGCATTTTGTGAACGTCACGTGTTTAATCTCCAAATTGCCAAGTTTTTATTTTGGTTTAACGAAACCGCAGCAGCCTTTACTATTATATTTTAACCAACAGGCCAATGCTCACATGATACCTGTGACTCAGCTGAATCTGCTAATATAAACAAGTGTCCGGACAAGTCCCAGGGACTCTTCTGAGGCGATATTCTTGACGCGTTACAATGATGGCAGTGAAAATACTGTTTCTCCTCTCTATTTTATTGACAGGTAAGACAATTCATACAATACAATTATCAAAATGTTAAAAATGGTTTGACAGGTTGATATTAAATCAAAATGACATATTTTTTTTAAATACGAATATTCTTGGCTGAATATTTGTAGCAGAGTTTTCTTATTATTTGGGTAGCATTTTATTTTTCTCTAGCCTAATTTTAACTCAACTTCTTAATATTTAACTTTTTACCTCATTTCAGTATTTTAACGGACTTTGTAACTTTTACATTCATGTTTTTGATCAAGATAGGCATAATTTTAAAAACATTTTTTTTTAAATGTTGGCTAGTTGTTCTCATAGTCAGGGTCCTGTATTAAGTTTCACATTTCCATGAGTTGTTACCATTTCCACTAAGACCCATCACCCATGATCAGATTGTTAATATATTACTACTACTCAAACACAGAGAGCTAAAAATGATCCAAAAAAAGAAAAAGAAGAAATATGTCAGAACTTCTTCCCAACCTTGCTCATCATGTTATGACTTATCAGTTTTATCTCATGACCCTTTGTAGGAGACCTTAAGTGTATGGGAGCCACTTAACTTTAAGGCTAATTTAAATAATTAAAACTTAATCATCCTGGTTCAACTGCAGTATTACTACTTACACCTTGTTGCATCATAACAACAACACCATTATATAACCCAGCTTGTTTTTTTTTACCTTAATATTTTTCTGTAAGTAACCATACTTCTGTAGATTAATAAACATAAAGTAACATCTTTACATTATTGTGGTTATCCTGTTAAAAGAGTATCAGTGTGGAAAGAATTATTGGAACCATTTCAGCCCCCTCCTAACAATGGACCAAACCAAAAAGGGGCTTAGAAGTCATTACACAATGTTACATAATATAACAATGTCGAGTAAATCTGGAACCAGTGACATAAGAGTATAGCTTATTTTAAAGTATGATTCAAACATGAACACACACTGTTCAGCATGATCAAAGTATTCATCAGCAGTGTTACTTCCACAAATTTAACCAAATATCCTTGACGTGAAAATCACATGACTGACAGCCAGCCATTTAGATGGCTATTGGTATTGTTTCACAACAAGAAATATACACTTACTTTAACGTACACTCTTTTTTTGAGATAGCCGGTTAGCTTAGCACAAAGACTTGTTATAAGGTAGCCTGGGTCCATCCAAAGTAACAAACTCCACCCACCAGTGCCTCAAGAGTTAATTCCCCAACTTAAAACATTAACATGCATCATGTTTTAAATTCAAAACAAAATTCTAAAAAAGTTCCATTATTTTAAAATGAAGTTTTAAGTGGCACTGTTTCCTGGTCCTCAGAACCGGCATCCCCATGGTCCTTTGTGTTGAACATGTATGTTTTATATCAAAAACAGTCAGGTTATCTAGTGTCACTTTTCCTCTATTGACATCCTTTAACCATCTTAAAAATGAGATTGTTCAATGTAGACGATCCCACACATTGCATGTGTACCTAACAACAGCAAAACATGGGAAAGTGGACAGAGTTCTTCTCTGATAACAAGCTATTGAGGAGAAAAGATCAAACCCTTGTTTCCAGTCTATTTGGTAAACTAAGCTAGGTTAAACTTAGCTATAAACTACCCTGGTTATAGCTTCCCAAAACACACACAAGTTTGTAGTGCAGATCGTTTTTCATGTCACTCTCGGTTTGTGGGTAATATTCACAAATATCTCACATTGTTTTCAAATTTGGTCAATTAAAGCAGTTCTCTGTAGATACATTTAATGCAGTTAATCTTTCTATTAAAATAAATGTTGTTTAAAGCCATATTTCAGCAGGCCAATATATATCCAATATATATTTTTTACATTCAAATCTCAATGTTTGCCAACCAACTTTACAGAGTTGGCGGCACTGCAGTGTAATACAGAGTACTTTTACTGAGTTATTGAAATAATTTATTGAAATGATCAAAATCAAAACCCTTTTCACCTCTTATTCACATGCAGGTGTGTTTTCGTTGAGACGCACAGAGGTTCATATCAAGGCAGGCGAGATGGTGGCCCTGTGGTGCCCACATCAAAAAGGGTCTTATGGTGCCAAACTGATCTGGAGCAGTCACACCGCCCACGAGCTGGATCTGAGCAGCAACATGTCAGCTGATGAACTGAGTAGGATGGGAGTGCTGGTTTATGGGAGGAATCTTGTGATTCTTAGTGCGTCTGTAAATCATCAGGGGAATTACTCATGCTCTCAGGGGTAAGATATACAAGTAATCCCAAACAGTGTTCCTTTTTTCCAAGAGAGCCAGTATCCACAGATGACATATTTAAATTACAGAGGCTTTTATTTCTGAATCTGACATGAAACACAACTTAAAAACTGGAACAAATGAGACGATGCCTTACATTAGTTATTTCTATATGCAGTTATATCATAATCAACACAAAGCTTCAGTGTTTTATTGGTGAATTTAAGAAATTGTTAGAGTCCATGCTCTGACAAATATTATGAACCAACATCAGCTCTTATACTTTTAATAAACCATGAAACATGTTGTTGTCTATTATGACGAGCTATTACATCAAGCATAAACAATACTGATCTTGGCAACTATAACCTTTTGTGTTCTTACCTGGGCTTTGTACAAATGCTAATGTAAGACTTTTATGCTAACCATGTCAATGCTTAAAAGTTGATGATGTTAACCAGTGATCAGAGATCGACAGGTTTCCCAAATGACATTGGCTTTCTGGAGAATTTGTATTTTAAAGATTGGTCCTTAAAGACGACCTTCTTTTACATTAAGAGCCTCTGAAAAAAAAAGAAATAAATGTAAATAAAAAATCTTCATATTATTTTATCTATTTAATGACATGACAGGAATGCCAGCAGCCAGTTCATGCTGACAGTTTACACGGGGCAGAGCGGAGAGGATGAAGACTGGAACACGTACTCAGCAACATGTTTCACACAGGAGTCCTGCACATTGCATTGCCCTGATGTAAATATCCCTGATGTAAATACACCAAACATGACCAGCAACGACATCATATGGCACAAGGTATTTTAAAAGATCTTTTTTTGTTTAGTATGGATTAGATTTGATGTGAAATAAGACTCTACAAGATGCTCCATGCATTATTCATTTTTTACTTTATGACTGTTCTCTAATAATGGGACGGCTATTACAAAATATGTTGTTTTTTTTTCTTCATGCTCAAAAATTCCACTTACTTTCCCTAGAGAGGCGAGTCACTGCCACAGGATAGCTACTTCTCGAGTGTGACGGAGAATGACCACGGTGTTTACACCTGCACCAGGTCTTACCTGTACCATCAGCTAATATATAACATCACGTTCAAAGTCATGCTTGTTATCCGACCAAACAGTAAGACATCACTTTTTTGGATTCTTTTCACCTTAAAGACAGACACGTATATGTTTATTGACGTGTTACATGTTCGCTCTTGTTTTTGCACAGTCATATCTGGACAATCAGTGTTGCTTTCACCACACATGGATGATGTATTTCATGTAGCTTTGGGTAAGTGGACGTGTTATTGTTTGAATACATTTACAAACATGCACTTGGATATACATTAAAAATGGACTCATAACAAACTGTATGCTTTGGCCAGATTCGACAGTGGTGATTGAATGTACAGCTGTGATATATTCAGACTTCGATGAGGTGTTTTGGTTAAGTGGCAGCTCATTTTTGGAAAGGGACAACAACTTACCAGTTTTCTACAACTATACAAGGTAAACACTTCACAAAATGTACAAACTCTAACAAAAAGGTTTTAAAGAGCAGATAGATTTTTATAGCTAACAGTTGTCCTTTGTTTTACAGAGAAAGCAACGCTGAAGGAATGAAGATGACAGCATCTTTAGTTTTCAAAAAAGTGACAAAGGAGGATTTAAGGAAAAGTTACACCTGTAAACTGGACGCTGATGACCAACCCTCAAGCTTTGTCAGAATCACCTTGGCCCAAAAAGGTATACAACATGGACGGATAGAAATACCTTTTCTCTTGTTACTATTGTACTGATTATGAGCTCTCTGCTTTCCTCTGAAAACAGCTGGGGAAAATATTTTGGGGCTTTAAGGCAAAGCTTGTGGCTATCCGGGTAATTTATATTGGATTATTATTAACTGGTAAATTTAACTAGAAAGATCATATGCAAGCAGAAACGATAAACGTTGAGAGCCAACATCAATAACTGGATTGTAATCTGCACTGATGCGCTTTAGAGACACAAACTGTCTTCCTGTACATGACAAAATTCTGCCCACATTTTATCATTTAATACTAAGCAGACAATAAAGGAAGACCTGCACTGCTTTGACACCAACATTGTTGTCAAGATAAACTCAAAGTTATGGGATCCATTCTGCTTCAAATGCTCAAGTTAAAAGGACTTTCTTCAATGTCTGCTGTTTTGAAGTTTTCATGTTGAGTTGCCTTTATGTCCCTACAGCTTCTCCTTTATCTGTCCCCCTGGCATTGGGCACTACGGGCATCGTGATGATGATCATTTTTGTAACAGCAGTTGTTTATGTTAAGTTCAAAATGAATATTGCCCTTTTCCTGCGCGACACTCTTAGTTGCACTAGCAGCAGCTCAGGTGGGATTTCAGTTTCAACTATTTTCTAGAATTAGTACTTTTTTCCTGAGTCGCATTGTTAAAGCAGACAGCCTTGTTGTCCATACCTGCATCAGTTTGTAACAGCGGTGACAAAAAAAATCAGCTTTTTGTTGATTGTTTTTAGATGGAAAAAGCCATGATGCCTTTTTGATGTACTACAAGAGCAACACAGGACTAAACGACACTGAGAGAGAAACGCTGGAGAGTGTTTTAGAAGAGAGTTTTGGTTACAATCTTTGTACTCATGATCGCAACGTCTCACCAGGGAAAGGTATACTATAAAATGCAATCTACTGTTTAGTAACTCTGTGTAAAATCTTGATGAAGAGACGTATCATCTTGTTCTTTGCAGCTGTAGCAGAGACAGTGTTGTACTGCATAGAGCAGAGCCAGTCGGTGGTTCTAGTTCCTACCTCTTCTGATCCTGGTCTAGAAGCTGGCCTGCTAAAAGACACCAGTGCTTCTCTTGTGGAGCGACAGAATCACTTGGTTTTCATCAAATTTAAGTCAAACCAAGTGTCAAGGTCAGGTTCAGTACCAGAGGCCTTACGGATTCTCAGTAAGGCTGGACACCGTGTCACCTGGAAAAGAAAACGCTCAATGACGCCCTCCTCCTTGTTCTGGAAGCAGCTACGCTATCACCTACCTGCTCCGCAAGCTGCTCGAAAAATAAGGCTTTCACCTCAGCCAACTAACCCTGAAGATATCTGCTGAATTATTTTTTGTGAAGTCAGAAAAACATAATACCAGTGCTTTCAGTATTTGAAACAAGTATTTATTCAATCAAGCTTTTCTGCAAGATGATTGACACACCTATATGAAACAGAGAGGCTTTATATTAAACGGAAAACTGTATATATATAAACATATAGCATTTATTTTTAATATTTTAAAAGATTCACATAAAGTAGTATTTGAAAATCCTTCTCCACCCCAATGACTTAAAATGCAAGACATTGTGGCCCGACATTGAAGGAAAGATCATGATGTTTGTGTTAAAGTTATTATATATTATGTACCTTCCTTTATACCAGAACACTTTACTCACGTTGACTTGATGTTAAGAATATTAAATAAATATATATCCTGTGAAAGTGTTAGCTTTCCAGTCTCTTGTGATTTATAATATTATTTGCTGTGGTAGATGTTTTCTTTTCTTGAATTGCATGATTCCCTGTCAGTTGTTCTCAGCAACCTCCTCATGCAAACTCTAATAAACCCATCACACACTGAAAGATTATTGAGTGTTAGTTCAAGAAAGTGGAACTTTTATCCATTAAAGATCTGGATTTAATCTTCAATACTTGATGAAAACAACAACTGAGCCAAAAGGTTCTTGAGTATTGTATTTTTTTTTTATATATCAAGTTGCAGGAAACACATAGGCTGTTGTTTCTCATATCCCCAAAGAAAGTGAAACGGAGACGAAGGTGAAATGATGAGAGCGGGTTCAATGGCAGGTTGTTTGAGGTTTTGCTGCCACCTAGTGAAAGAAAAGTCACGAGAGCAGCTTCAGAGAATGGACGTCCTTGTTTTAGGCTGTTGTACTTATTAAAGTCACAGTTCAGACTATGACCTGACAGACGCTTAAACACTCGACACTTTTGTAAATACAAGCTAATAGATTTTAAGAACATCAAAACCTTAAAAACCTCATTAAAAATAATGTGCTGAGAAAAATGTGGACAAAAACCTTTTGGCCTGTTTTCCAACTTTTGTATTCAGGACCTCTTTGGCAGATACAATTACATTACATCCTTCTTTGCAATTAAAGACTCACTCAGTTTATAATCACAGGAATGGCACTCCCCATCATTATAACTGATTAATTAATGATTATCATATGATTGTTATTTATACAGTTAATGCTTATTGCTGAAGCATGATTGCCATAGAAAGTATTAAAATTGACTTTGACTTCTGTAGTGACCATATTTTAAAACATAGCCCTATATTGTCCAAAGCAGAGATTTTATCTACAGCTGCAGTATCTTATTGGGGGGCAGCCAATACGTTTAACAACATTGTCATTTCACCACCTTTTAAATAGTGAGTGGAAATTTAGTTTGAGACTGCATATTTAACTTATGACCGTTCATAAATTCTGACTTGTTTCTGCAGCCACCTGTTTTTTGTATCGAGTGAGCATGCTATTTTTTTTTTGCTGTGGTTTTGGTCTCTTCCAAATTTCAGGCCCTTAGTTATTCTACCTTCTTCACCAAATGAGGGACACTGCCGGTTAAAGTGATGATTCTCTGTTGGTGTATCACTACAAGTGACCTTTATCACATGACATTTGTTAAATCATCAAAATCAACACTAGCCACCTTAACGCTGCTGATGGTGCTGTTGTTAGCTTGTGTTATGCGGTGGCTTTGGCTCGGTTGTTAGAGTCTTCGTCTCTCAACCGAGAGGGTTCAATCCCCAGTTCCAGCAGCAACACATCCGATGTGTCCTTGGGCAAGACACTTAACTCCAAATTGCTCCTGTATGAATGGAGTTACTTTTGATCTCACTACATAGCAACTTCTGCCATCAGTGTGTGAATGTGTAGGTGACCTGCGGTGTAAAAGCGCTTTGGTCAGAAGAGTAGAAAAGCGCTATAAGCTCAAGTCCATTTACCATATAAATCATGTGTTTTAATGCTGCAATGTTAAACCAATTTAAACAACAAAGAAAGACAGCACACTGTCTCTAAATTAGGGAATTTTTATGTAAATGAATCATATATGAGCATGTGAACCACCGTGTTGTTCTAAAAGGTCATGGCATTAACAACCCTATCGTAATCGCTGCTGTGGCTTTGGAAAACCTTAGTCAAGTCTTTCAAAATATCTACTGGTTATGACATGGGAAGTGTTGGAGCCAGGTTTATTTTACTCAGGACTAAAACAGAATATCACAGCCTAACTTTGTCTCTTGTGCTTCTTCTGACTGTTTAGGTTGTGTAATTCTAAAATGATGTTCCGTTTCTTTTGTCTGTGGTTACCTTGTGACCTATTGTTTTATTTGCAGTTTATTTGGTGAGCTTTAATAAAGTTGAAGCGCTAACACTAATTCAGAAATTCACAAGCAAAAAAGGAACAATAATGTAGCCAAGTGGAAAAACAAGGGTATAAAATACAGGTAACCTTACTGTAACCTAAACATGTCTACTTAAACTCAATGCCTGCTCTTTGTTTCTGATAGGGCTTATTGAACTTTGTGCACTCTTTTTTTATTTCACAGCTCTAGCAGGACTTTAAATATATTATTTGTCATTGTGGTTTTAGGAAAGGCTGTCAGTGGTTTTCATCTTCCACCACTTCAAACTCAAACCTGCAAGTTGAAAAGATCAAAACTTAGAATAATGCTTTAATTGAACTGAAAAAAGGTTTGGAAGATCTTTAGATATCTTGTGAGCTTGGTTCACTCTTCAGGGATCGGGTAGCCTAATCCCCTTTTTAACACGCAATATAATCACTGTAAAGAAGGCTACGAGCTGCGTGTGAGTAACGAAATGTTTTTTTTTTTAAAACCTGTGGCGCAAACAAAGCGTTTCCAGAATATTGTCTTTATTTGCATCCGTAATTATAACTATTTTTTAAACTATAAAGGAGGTCTAGTATGAGGTTATGTAGATTTTTTAATCATTTATCACGAAGGACAGAATGCCACTATAGGCTATTTCCACTCCATTTCATTTTACATCGGTCCATAAATTATTCTCTCTCTTCATTAAGAGGGGAAATCCGGGAGGGGGTGGGGGTTTACACAGTAGTGACAACATGTTGACGCTATGGCTCTTCCTTAAGTTTCACTTTATACAATGACATAGCCCCATTTCGGGAAATGTTGATCAGTAATTCAACAGAACTGGCTTCAGGGATCATTTGGTCAGAGACAGTTTCTGACGACGCAGCAGCAGTGGTGTAATCATGACGATGAAAATACTTCCAGTCCATCTGGTTTTCCTCCTGACATTTCTGGCAGGTAAGAGAAAGAGAACGTCACTTAATGTTTGGTTTTATTGTCATCTTTTGTTAAGAAGACAGACAGTCATCTTTCCAATGCACAAACCAGTTCTAAATGGGAGGAAGAAGTAAATATAACTGATCAGATTAAGTCATTTCAACAGGGGGTATGGACCTTTAAAAACAAAACAAGGAGCTATCACCACAACAACTAGTTGTTTCTTACATAGCATTATGCATAGGAAGTTGTGGAAGAATAAATCAGATCTCATAGATTTTATCTTTAGAGTGTAAGTCGTGCATTTAGAATTTTAGTACAAGTGTGAGCCTCACAATGATTGTAGTAAAATCAAGAATGGTCCATTTTATGTTAATATAGGCTATGATTATTGATGCTTTTGTGTTTTATGTAAACACAAATGCACCTTTAGTTATTTAAGTTATAAAATACTTTGGAGAAAATGATTTGCCCCTGAATTCTACAGTAACCCAAGTAAGAGCGCCTTAAAAGTAAGATACCAAACTAAAGTATAATACCTTGCAATTGTACATAGAAAACCTGCAAATCCACCTGATAGCACTGAGGAAAAGACACAGTATGATCTCTTGATAGTTGTCCTGTCTGTCTGAATTACATTAACAGCTGTAGTTTCTTTGCTACAGTGTCACCTGCAGAAATAATCATCATAAATATTACATATATGCAAATATTACACTTGACAATATTTTACACTTTTACATGACACTAAACTGGCTCCTCTTTGTCTTCTTCCTGTAATGAAACGTCCAGTGCTGACTTGTACAAAGTTGAACCACTGTTCCTTCACACGAAAATCACAAGAAACTATTGCTCTAAAAAAATCAGGATGTGGTTAAGAAGTCAAAGTCCCAACCCTCGATATCAAGTTGTTTCACACATTAACCAGTGAGATCAACACTATCATTCAGCAGTCAGAGTCCTGACACACACAAGAAAATTTGAAGATATTACTCCGGTACTAAAATCACTCTATTGGCTCCCCATACAACACAGAATCACTTTCAAAATCCTCTTATTAGTCCATAAAGAACTTAATGGTTCTGCCCTGCTCACAGACTACCAGGGCCCTCAGGTCATCAAGTGAAGGCCTGCTAGTCGTACATCAAGTCTGGAGAGGGGGCCTTTAGTTACTGTGGTCCCTCTCTCTAGAACTACCTGCTGACCTGAGGTCCATCCCAACTGTCTCTACTTTTAAAGCTAAACTCTAAACCTATCTGTTCTCTCAAGCATACGAATAGTTACTCTTTGTGTATGTGTGGGTATGTGCAGATTGAAAGAACATTTTCACATGTTCATTCCACAGCAGAAAAAAAAAAACTTGTCCTACTTCCTCTAATGTGCCTCCCAAAGTTGTGCATTATTAGCTTCAACTATTTTGCCCAAACCTTTAAAAAAAGGAACATGACCTTTTGAAAAATAAATCTTATTTCAAGTAGTTCAGCCAAAAAGTGACAAATCATCCAGCCTCTGGATTCTTGCTGTCACCAAACAATTGATGTTATATTTTTGCACATTGAAATAAACTGAAATCTGTGAAACCGGCAGGTATGTTTCCCTGTGGAACCAATGAGATAGGTGTGAAGTCAGGTGAGATGGTGGTGCTGCAGTGTAATACAGAGAAGTTTTGCAGAGTTATTGAATTTAAACACTTTCTACCTCTTATTCACAGGTGTGTTTTCATTGAGACACACAGCGGTTCATATCAAGGCAGGCGAGATGGTGGCCCTGTTGTGCCCACATCATAAAGGGTCTAATGATGCTGAGCTGATCTGGACCAGTCACACTGCCCAGGAGACTCTTCTGATCAGCAGCATTTCATCTGCAGAGCAGAGGCAGATGGGTCTGCTGGTTCATGGGAGGAATCTTGTGATTCTCGGTGCGTCTGTAAACCATCAGGGGAAATACTCATGCTCTCAGGGGTAAGATATATAAATAATATAAATAATGATACAGCATTCATTTTTTTTCATGAGGCCCTCAGCTCTATGTTTAATGTGATAGCTTTCATTTTCCTAGTTATACTAGTATATCCTACAGAACGCTTTTTACTTCTGTATGGCATAAAAAAAGAGTGCAATACGACAATAGCGTCATTTTCATGTGTATTTTTTAACCAGTCTTCCAGAAAAGCTTCAGAGATCAAATAGTTTTGCGTTTCGGTGCTATGTAGATGTCTGCAGTTGACAACTGTTCTCCTTAAAACCTCCATCTTTAGTGTTCAGAGTCAGTGGTGACTGAAAAGCAGAATTTGGATGTAGCCTCCAGGTCTGAAAAGTGAAGCAAATGCAGAATCTCCTTAAAACTACCTTTTTTCTAATGGCCAGCCGGGGGGGGGGGCGGCGTCTTTTGGTCTCAAATTAATTTCTGCTCATCTCAAATTCTGTAAACTATGTTCACGTTAACAGTGATTGAAGATACGGCAGGTTTTGCTTCACGCTCTTACTTTGGGTTCAAAAACATTGCACCATATAAACTTCTCAGTTAGAGTACAGGTGTGGTAATACATACTCTTTCCAGCCACAACCCTCTCGTCAGAAAAACGGTCACTACTTCATCCAAATAATCAAGATGGAGCAGGCGAATGCAAAAAAACTCAAGGCCAAAAAAGGGTAGTCCAAAACCAAATCTGTGAAGTCCATTCATTTAAAACACTGTATAGAATTAGTTTGAATGTAAAAATCAACCCTTTCAATATTATTTTCTTCTTTGATGACATGACAGGAATGCCAGCAGTGAGTTCATGCTGACAGTTTACACGGAGCAGAGCAGAGAGTATGAAGAGCAGACCACGTACTCAACAACATGTTTCACACAAGAGTACTGCATGTTGAATTGCCCTGATGTAAATATCCCTGATGTAAATACACCAAACATGACCACCAACGACATCATGTGGCACAAGGTATTTAAAGACGGCAGATATTATAAGATTAAATTGTAATCGTGGAGGTGGTGGTATATTGTGTCTTCTGTTGGGCTCTTCTGACTTCCAAGATTTCAACTATTTGTTTCAAGTATTGTTTTATTCATCTCTAATTAGTTTATCTACATTTTCCACCCTGTAGAAAGGAGAGTCATTTCCAATCGACGGTTACTTTTCAAGTGTGGAAAAGAATAACCATGGCATCTACACCTGTACTAGATCCTACCTGTACGATCAGCAATCATATAACAGGACCTTTGCGGTGATCCTTGACGTCAAACCCAGTAAGAAAAAAAAATATCTTCCTTGACAGTTTTATCAACATACAAATCGACATGCTGAAAAAAAGATTTTATGAAGTTTTCCCCTGTTTGCACAGAAATAATTCAGAAATCTCCTACGATCAATTCCCCCCTCCAGGATGATGTATTTCATGTAGATTTGGGTGAGTTTCAATGTCATAAAGTGTGTACTCTAACAGGTGTTTACCTCCTTTTTAAATGTTGACCTTTAAATCAATCTTGTGTTGAACTCCTTTCTTAGGCTCACCTGCGGTCATTTCTTGTATAGCCGTGGCATTTTCGGACTCAGATTCTCTGCACTGGTTGAGCGGAAACTCGATGTTGAAAAAAAATGAAAGCTTAACAGTTTTCTACAATGAAACGAGGTAAATCAGTCACACAATTGTTTCTGCTCTGATAATGAGTTTCATGTATCTAACAGTAGTTGGGAATTAAGCCACACCTGAGTCCAGTGTACAGGTGGAAAAAAAAAGTTTCCACTTGATGGGATACCATGTAAATGTCCGACTATAGCTGTTGGAAAGTACTGTGGGTTCAACTGAGTTTAAAAGGCACAAATAAGACAGAACCTCCAATGGACAGTGTATTACATACTTCAAATGTGCAGAGCAGCAGTCTTAGATTTACACGTCAGGGTTGGTGACCTTCTTCAGTCTTTTTCAGTCAGAAATATGACATCAGGAGACATTGTAGTTGACATTTCTTCCCTTCACAAATACAACAGCATCACAACCAGGTCTGGAAGTGCCAACGTTACACAAAAACACACAACACATTCATAAATGTATCTTCTACCCATTCCAGAGAAAACATTGATGGTGAAATACACATTACAGCATCTCTAGTCATCAAGATGGTAACTGAGGAGGATCTATCAAAACATTACACCTGTAAACTGGATTCTGACGACACACCCTCATCCGTCATCATCACACTGGCCCAAAAAGGTAATCAAGAGTGATGTATCTTTTTTTTATTTTGTTAAATAATCTTTAACAAAGAGGAGCTTATATCTAACAAGTATTTCCAACATTGCCTACTCTAAAAAATATGTGTAATGCTTTGTCAACCAACTAGTCTATTAACCAACTAGTTTTACCCTGAATCTGATATTAGATTTTATTTACATGTTCATTAATACACCATTAAGTTTGTGTTTGAATGACTATCAATAAACTCATTTTCTACATTGTTTCCCCTCAGCTCGCCCCTCTTACATTTCCTTGGCTGTTGGCAGTGTCTGCATTATAGTGGTGATGCTTTTGACTACAGCTGTCTACGTAAAGTTCAAAATTCACATCACTCTTTTCCTGCGAGATGCTCTTGGCTGCCTCAGCAGCGCCTCAGGTATATGTTTATGAGAGCTATAAGGTATGAGAGCTATTGGACTGCAGACAGTGTGATAGCAGTGACAAAGCTGTCGTTTGTTGTTGTTTGTTTAGATGGACAAAGCTATGACGCCTTTTTGATGTGTTATAAGAGCGACACGGATGGACTGAGTGAAGACGACAGAGAATGTCTGAAGAGTGTTTTGGAGGAGAGATTTGGTTACAATCTCTGTCTGTATGACCGTGACATCTTACCAGGGAAAGGTATGTGTTTATGATGTACTTTGATGAAAAACAAACTAAGACTCTTCATAATCATGTATTTATTATATATATACTTATTTATTCATATTCATATGAACTCTGCCTGGTTTCAGCTGTAGCAGAAGCTGTGTTGGACTGTATAGAGCAGAGCCGGGCGGTGGTTCTGGTTCCCACCTCTTTAGATCCTGGTCTAGGATCTGGTCTGCTGAGTGTCATCCATTCAGCCCTTGTTGAGAAAAAGACTCGCTTAGTTTTCATCAAAACTGAGTCAACCGAAGTGTCAAAGTCAGGTTCAGTACCGGAGGCATTACAGCTTCTAAGTGAGGCTGGAAACTGTGTCACCTGGAAAGGAAAACGTTCCCTGATGCCCTCCTCCTCCTTCTTCTGGAATAAGCTACGCTATCACCTACCTGCTCCGCAACATGTGCCAAAAATAAGGCTTTTAACTCAGACTGTCTAAGGCAGTGTGTTCACACATGTTCTCCTGAAATGTTCAGACAGCCTGCTTGTTCACACATACAAGTTTTGTATGAACTTGAAACATGTTTTTTATAACTGTATTAATCAGTAATTGTTTTTCAATAAAAGCAGCAAGGATATAGACGAGAATGAGATTGCCTTTTAGCCAATTTCAGCTTTTGTTTTGATTTGCTAGCACAATCATGCATATTTCATGCATACAGCAAAAAGGCCTCTAGTTAAACAACTGTATGCTTCCTGTCGCACTGACGCACAAAGTCACTGAGCAGAAAATGTTCATGTTATAAAATAATCAGGTAGTTTGTGGATACCTTGCCAAATCAAAATGCAATTGAACATTGAACATAAACTTGTCCGGTCATTACATACTCGACTCTCAATGAAAAGTAAAAAGTTGCTTAATGTCTGACTCCTTTTTTTCTTCTGACTATCTAATACTGAAAGCAAATACAAACTGTTTTCACAAGAGTTCCATGTAGAGATCAATAACATTCCTCGTTAAGGGAAAAACTCAAAGCTGGGCTAAACATCTGACCTGCCTCTGCCTGAAGGTCTGTTGTGGAGAAATTGTACCTACAGTTTATAAAAGTCTAAAACAAATAACTGTGTGAATACAAGCTTCTTAAACTGGAAAATGTATATTAACTCTGTCCCTCAGGGATTTCTTTGTCTTTTTTTATTAGATAAAAACTAATAAGGCATCTCCCACACCAACTAAATAATTTAGTGGTATACACAACACTTAAGAGCAGCTCTTCTGCTCTACACATAGGAAGTGGAAAACACAATCAAGTCTTTAAGAGCAGGTTCTAGTGAAATCACAAAACAAACAAAACCATACAGGAAACCAAGAGAGACTGAAACATCGACATGCCCTATGGTGATGTTCACACATGAAGCGATACTGCCTCAAAGACGAGATGGAAACATTAACGTTGATGAGAAATACCAGGAACCCCAGATGTGGTTATTCATGAAAAAGTGTAGCAGTAAAAAAAGAAGACTGGTTCTTTCAGCATCGTGACCAAAGTCATCTACAGATTTGGAGACGAGATGCAAACTGGATACTTTCTTAGCTTATTAATCTTTCCCAATTTTTTTGAGGCATGCTGCGTGGGAAACCATCAAAACAAATGGAAAGGTATATTACATTTAAATACAAACTTTGTTTCAGTATCACAGTTGAAAAATTCTGCTTTCTAATACAGTATGTGCATGTGTTTTAAAGGAAACGTGTCATTAACACTTGTGTCTCAGACCTTCTTTTGACTGAGAGAAACAAAAATGTCTCTGAGTATCAGCCTCTGAACTCATCAACTATCTTTAGTTCCCCAACAGAATACTACACATCATCTCTACAGAGCAGTGGAGGGGGAAATCTTTATGATGCCTTGTATTAGGCATGCAGATCTGGTGTGGTCCAGGATTGGACAAGGCAGAGAGGGAAATAAAGGCTCATCCATTCCCTGTGGGAGGGAGTTCCTAGCAGAAGATAAACATTCTGGAAATTACTCCTGCCTCACAGGGTAAATAAACACCCATCATTATCACTGCTCTATTAAATGTGACTAAATTCATACTCTGAGCACCTGCTGTTTATGGCTTCAAAATAAGATATGTTAACAATATGTATTTTCTTTGGATATTGCTCTCAACATATATAGAGCCATTTTTCTCTGAACTCATGATTGGGTGGGATGTGGGTTTAAAAATATCATAACACTGGGTTCCAGGTTTGTAAATGGTATGCCTTTAACTTAGTGGACTCAACGAAGTGTCATTATTTCACAGTGTCTCATTTGATCTGCAACTGAAAATGTGGTGATTTTAGAGAAAATTAACATCTTCTAACTCTCTAAAGCTCTGTTAAAATTACACTAGCAAACAAACTACAATATGACAACAGCTAATGTTAGCATTTAGCCACTTCTCTGTAAACTATGCTGTTCTCTAGTTTGGTTTGACAACATTAAGAGAGGAAAGGCAAACTTCCTAGCTAACCGTGATGTTAGTGTTAAGAAGGGTTCAAAGTTGAGGTACTATCACCATGGGGGCATCGGGTCAGGATGCAGGAATCCAACAAGTCTTGAATTTAGGTAACAGGTTTATTTCGTAAAATTAGGTCAATCTTGAGGGTAACAGAAGACACACATGGGATTGCACATCCATGCATCGCTGAACTGCCGCCCCATGTGAGAATGAAAAGATGAGTGTAAAGGAGTGCCGTCTTAAATAAGGAGTAGGCAGGTGAATTCAATCTAATTAGTGACAGAGTGCAAACAACAACCAATCAAGGGGGAGAGGAGGGAGTGAGAAACCAGGAAGTGTATTAAAGGAGGTGCAGTAGGAAAAGAGAGGACGTGAAATGAAACAAATAGTGATCTTTATGACAGTTAGCGAGCTAATTGTATTATGCTAGCTTAAAAAAAAGCGTTCCACAAATTGTTAAAGTGTAATTTAAGTTGAGGTTCAACTTGAAATTTCCCTGATGCTCCTCTGCATGTTTACTATCATTGTATTTTCAGTTGCTGATCAACATGGAGGGGTGAAATGATAAAACTGGGTTGAATGACCTGGGTTAATACATTTTAGGAACTTCAAACTGTATAACAATATTACTGCATAAAAGCATGTGAGCTTGCCACTCAGGGTCGGAGAAAATGGTTGCCATACATATTGAGAAACATTGCAGAATGGTAGGCCTACCATACACCACCTTCGATATGGTGCATACATCTAGACATTTGAATGATTTTCTTTCAATTTTAGGGTCTCCTGTAGCTGTTACTCTTGTCTACACACTTGGTATTAAAGATCCCAATATGTCTGCAACTTTGAAAAATACTGACTTGATTTACACAATACTCCTATGACATAAAGTATTTATGGTGTTTCTGTAATGCATGTGAGCTGCTGATAAGTGTAACGGTGTACGCTGTCAAGTGGCAGCAAACAGTTCTTCCATCTACAGGTGTTGAAGAACAACAGCCTTGGATGCGTCAATCCGGAGGAGAATAGCGTTTTGCTGCTTGTTGGAGCAGGTTCGAAGATCCACTGCCCAGGTTTCAACTGTAGTGACGACACAGATGCTGTTTGGTACAAGGTAAGCTGGCTACAAACATGAGCAGCTTCATCTCTCAGTCTCACATTGGAAACATGAATCACAGTACAAAAACTATCTGTGCTTTCTTACAGGGTAACAAAAAAGTGTCTGAACAGCGGAGAGCCTCTTGTCAGAAAAATGGGGTGTTACATCTCTGCCAAGTCAAAGTACAAGATGAAGGTGTATATTTCTGTGACAGACAGATAATTGAGCAAGGAGTCAAATGGACGTTCAGGAGGGCTGTTACAGCCACAGCCGTACGTAAGTTATGTGCTTGTGTGTGTGTGTGTGTGTGTGTGTTGGGAAAGCTAGGACTATATAATACACACACACGAAAACACACAATATCATATTTGTAGTTTTTCTCTACCAATTCTGTTATTTTCTATTTTGCACATGAATAGCACACAAGTGTTGTTGCATTTCACCGTGCATCAAAAAGAGCAACAGTGGGTTGGTTGGTAGTCCAGACTGGTAAATCTCGATACTAGCATACCATACGTGCAGATCAAAATTTCCAGCAAAATATTTCTACGGCCATAGCAGTTTGTGGGGCACAATATTCTTTTTTTTAATTAACGACTGCCAGATAATGTATTATAATTAATTTGGGGATCCTCTACAGTGTCTTAGAGGATAGGGTGGATTGTTGCGGAACTTTTGTGTTGACTTATTGCTAATTTGTAAGTGTAAGCGTGGTAACACACTCATGTAGAATGTGGCCTTATTCAGAACGCATAATTGGGTTTCATGATGGCCCAGAAAGGTAAATTGGGCTGTGGCCTGCTTTTGTTTGCATTTGGGTCAAAAACACTTAAGAGAGCTGCTTGCGTGGCTGTAGGCTATGATGTTCTCATCTGAGTGCTCAGCACAGTGAAGTGCTCGTGTCATTTCCACTGTCCTACAGAAGCAGTTATTTTCAAGCCCAGTACCTACATGGTGTAAGTAGCAAATGTATTTGCAGCCATCTGTTCCCATGGCCATCTTGTACCACAGCTCTGGCACATTGCTTTACCTACTAAGACCTGGTCTAAGTTCAATGCTGGATATTCCCTCTGCTTTTTTAACATGAAAACACTGCTTCCTCCATAGCAGTTGCTTTGCTGATTTAATGGTTTCTCCATAAATATTCCGGTTATTGTGCTTAACTTCTGTTATTTAACTATACACTATACATCCTGTAAGTTTTAGTCTTGTAGCATAACGCCCATCAGTCACCACTTATAGCTGAGGGTGTTATAGAAAGCTCTTTGTGGTTGTCAATGAAATCTCTGTTTTTGCATGTCAAATAAGTTGATAGGAAACTTCGTCAGTGCATGGGATTTTTTAAGTGCTAATACTTCAGAGTTGAAATGTCAAACGGCCTCAGCATATATGCTGTTCCTGAGGCTAGACGCCCTAATCCATTTCTTTGTTTGACTTGTTTGAATCAAAATATTTCCAGTCTTCGATGCTGATCTTGGCAGTTGCATGAAGCCATTGGATTTTTTCCCCTTTGATTGAGTGTCTTAATCTTCTCATCTGATGAAGTGTAGTTGTTTTTTAGCCATGTGTTGAAGTAGAGCTCACATGTAATCTTTATAGTAAACTATAAAGATGATCATACAGAAATGTGTGTGTCCCCGAACAGCTCATAAAAAACCAAGAGACCCACCCAGGATCATGTATCCTGACGGCAACATGACAGAAGAAGCAGAGCTCGGTAAGTGTATCCAGATGTTCTGTGATTTAATCCCACAACTATCAGAGGTAATAAATCATTTGATTAGTTTAGTAAACTGCTTTATCAGAGCTTTTACATACTCAACGTTTAGCTGAAGGTAATATGTAACATATATCAAACAGCTCTAAAAAAAAACATTCAAGGGTCTCATCTAAGCTTTAAAAGATCACCTATAAATCTTATACAAATTGATATGAAAATAAGTGATTGAAATATAAATGTGTAGTTTTTGAGGACATTTTTGGTCATGTTATTTCACTAAGAGAATGTTTTTCCGTTCTTGTTTTAGGTCAGTCTCACATGCTGACATGTAAGGTATATTTTCCTTTTGAGCATACGTTTTCACAGAGGTTCGGTGGTACATGCATGACGGTGGGAACATGGAGCGCGTGACTTTACTACACATGGAGGAGCAACAGTGAGTTTTTAAAATCGTTTGATTGCTTTTGCCAGGAGATCTCTGTATTTCATAATGCATGTGCAATGTTCATTTTTTAGACTTCTGTAAAATCTATAAAATGTAAACATGATGATTCAGCTTGGCTTTCATGGTAAGGTTTTTATTCTGGTGCAAGGGAGCTAAAAATGATTTCCTCATTCAGACAGGAGAGGGTGATTTTTGAAGAATACAAATTGACACGAAGATCCATTATAAAAGAAGTGACTCCACAGCACTTGAACAACACATACACCTGCATCGCCACTAATTCTGTCGGAAACAGCAGCATCACTATCAAGCTGAAGAAGAAAATTAAAGGTACTGTGGTTTTTTAA